AAGTTCAAGGCTTTGCTCAAAGGTCCCAGCAGTGAAATATGAACCTGTGAACTTCTGGACAAGGGTACAGAACCCGAACCCACAGAGTTACACACTGCCAAGATGTGGGGTTTCAACAATGTAGATCCATTACCTTGGGGGGGAATCATACTTTTGAAGTTCAAAGAAACAGTGGTGCAGACTGGAATGATTTTTTGTTTCACATGCATGGGTACAGCTAAGCAAGGATCTACCAATTACCACATGACCTAAGCAGAAAAACAGGGCTAAGTGTAACCGATTGGCATTCCATTACTAATCATATTTAACAAGCTCAAAGGCATGAGATAAAAGCAACTTATCACACAATGCAGACATTCATGTTACAGTGGTCGGTAGTAAAAACATACTGATACAGGAAAAATTTGGGTAAAGTGAAATTTTGATTGGAAATTAACTGAATGACCGGTTTATCATACTGGTCTAAAGAACCAGTCTAAACAGGCTATATAAAACCAACAGAGCCTATTGGAGTCACACCACTTAAATTCAATTATCACTTCTGAAGGTTTCGAGAGCCCCTTTCTACAAAGCAAAAACACAAGAACCTAGCTAATGAGCCTGACACCAAACTGTTCCATTGTCTTGTTCCTTTCAAACAGTGTAAGAGTTGAGAGGAACCTGGTGTTCCCTCACATTATTAGAGGCGTGTACACAAAAGTCAACTGTTCAATGCGACGCAAACATGTAGCCACGACGGCCGAATATTGTAAGCCTTAACATCAGAATTCTCACTTTCCCAGAAAGGCCAGAGCAGCCAAGCACAGTTGCACAGAGAAGTGTCGACAAGGGGATCCCATACCACTGCGTAGCCCCCACCACACCACAGCCAACATGATCTTTGGAAACCAGAACAATCAGTAGAGAACTTTATTATTTTCTAGGGTTTAGTTACCAACCTCCTAAAGCTTACCCATGTAGTCTGAACCAATAAAATTTCATTAAAAGGATTCCCCAGACTCACCCAGGTAACTGACCACGAAACCATGTTCCAAAGAGCATCAAGGTAAAAGAGGAGGAATAATTACAAGTTCATTGGTTTCTGCATCATTCCACGTAAGCCAAACAAAATGAATGATTGAATTTAGATAAGCCATGAGAATGCACCACAGTAGGCATGTCTTGACACAGGGGAGGGAAACATCTATATGGTGTTTTCAGCTTGATGGTTCTGCTTACCACAAGTTTACCAAAGCAAGAGCTTTAAAGTCAAAGTCAGACAAAAATAGCTGGCATTCAATGGTCTCTTTCACTGACAACTGCATATTTCAAAGGGGAATTTCAAGGAATAACAAAGAAAATCTGTGGATTTTCCCTATTGAATAACTTCCAAGTCCCTGTCTTGGTCCTGCTAGAACTGCAGGTACCAGTTTCACACCACACATTCCATACATATTTATGGTCAGCACACTGGGGGGGTGTATTAACACACCAGCACAACTGGCCCTAGCACCTCATAACACAGTAAGCAGGTGAAAGGGAAGAATCTTAAACATACAGGAAGCCAATGCTGAGATGTTTAAGTGTGGAAAACACTGGAATTTCACAACAGATTCCCACTAATCTGCTACTGACAGAATGATTGCAAAGCCTACTGCCGCTCATGCTGGGTTTGTCAGCACAGAGACGGCTGGACCAGCCAGGGAGAATCACCATGCCCACAGAAGGGAAATCAACTTTTAGGCTGATCAAAATCCTCTCAGGCTCAAGCAGGCCTCACTGCAGGCAGTGGGTGTGTCCGTTTGCATCATACCTTCATAATTCAGTGAAGGGATGCAAATTCTTAGTTCCTAAGTTGGCTAAAACTGCAAAGTCGATGCACAAATAGACTCCTAAGGTCCAGATGGCTAAACAAGTCTGTTTGGTCTCATTAAGGGAACAAGCATTGCAACTATACTACTGGGAGATCGACAAAATCAGACAGGACACATTATCAGCTGATTGGCTAATCCAGCAGTCTGCCTGGTTCCTGTGAGCCATGGGTTACTCCTATAAGGTAGGACATAGCAGTCGTGCAAGCAGCATAATCTTTCTGGCACAGTGCCAGAGGAATTGCAAGGAAAGGAAGGCAATAATAAATGGGAGGAGTAGAATTCAACATTCAGTGGCAGAACAGGTGAAAAACAAAGCTGCTTTAGATAAAGGCTAAGGAATAAAAATAAATATATATAATATTGAGTATGACAGCAACAGGATAAGAAATTGATGAGTCTTAACTGAGAAATCTGCAATCAGTGACAACTGGAAAGACACCACAAAAAAATAAAAAGTCATGTTAGGGCCAGCAACCATCACACAGACCATGGAAACCCAGTAACTAAGATTAGACAGACTTCATGTACAAACTAAGGGCAAATTTTATCAAGGGTTAGTACTTGCAATTCAAGAGTCAACCAGTTCACCAATTAGTGACCAATTTACACTAAAAAAGACCCTACTGAAGTGACTCACTACCCAAATAAGAGCAAATAATGAAGGATCAAGATAAGGGAAAAACAGAAAACCTTGAGTAGCAACACGCACATGATCAAATCCAAAAATCTTTGAATGCAGTTTGAAATCTGCCCAAACGAATTACATAAGAGATAAATTCCTTACATCATAATTATAAGTACAGCAAGGACTCCCAGCCCCCCAAGCCCCCACCAAAAAAGGAATAATTAGCTTAACCACAAATCATAAAATTGACCAATAAAGATCAGTTTAAAATCAGCACTTCTTATCTGGAAACACACACACAGAGGAAGAATTTCTCTCACACACAGGCTTGTAATATGCCATGCTTGGACTAGCTGGGCAGAAGAACAAGTTCATGCAAAAACAGTTGTTAAAATTCAGAGGGGGGAAAAACCTAGTCAGGTATGTCTAGTTTTTGGGTGCTCAAAGCAAATACCCAACATGGTCAATGATTGAATCTTTGCATCATTTTTAAGCGTGTCTATAAAATTCTCACTTGATTTGTGTAGGACTGAGACAAACCTTCAGGCAGTTTCCACACTGAACATACCACCCTGAAAACTCACATCTCACACAGTCAGAACCACACCTTGGTCATTCCATAGAAATGTTCATAATTTCACATAACAGCTTTCAAATCTGACTGCAATGACTGTCAACTTGTAGAAAAGCTTAGAACAAATGTGTGGCTCATAATCACCCAACACCCCCATTTCCCTTATTTACATAAACATAACCTAATTTCTATTGTTAATTCCCCAGTTCGGCCAATTGCTATTCAAAACAGCATCGCAATATCATTGCTTCCGCTGAATTTGGAGTGGTGGAACAACAGTCATTTGTAAGGGGGAAAACGCAATGCCAGAGGAGAAATCGATCATGTTTGATCAAGAAGGGAAAAAATAATCAATGAAACAACCAGATGTACATAAAAAGCATCATCAACAAAGGCAGGAAAGCCCAAGAGCAACAGCAGAGAATGTCTGCAGTTACTGAGAGACATGTACATGCTTTCAGTTTGCACCGTAGCAAACTCACCAGTGTCTGTAAAATACAACAAGCCATCCAGAATAACGCGCACATGGACCTGAACTCTCCTAACCTTTCTGAAATTACAACCCAGACTAAAGGAATTGTACACCACCAGACAGTATAACATGATATTTTTAAAATAATTTTTGGCTGAATTTTCTGTAGATGCTTTGGGCAACCTGTTGCATGCAATTTTAAGCCTATATTACACAAAAGAATCACAATTATATCATTATTTACTATAAAAGGCCTACAAAACATCATGTAAACAGACATGGCCCAGGAGGTAGAGTTCTCCAACCATGCTACCCAGGAAAAGATTTGCACATTCAGAGACAACCTTGTCTGGGAAACCACCAGCACAAAATACAATGGCAACATAAGTTTTCACCTCAGCATGAACGTTAATTCAAACAGTTATGTTAAAAGCTTCATAACTTAATTATGCTAACAACTCCATTCCAGTTTATATCAATGTTAATATTACATTTGCACTACTGGAACACAATTTCTCAGATTACCACTCCAGCAGTAATTGCATTAAAAGCAACTAGGCATAAATAAAACACCAGTTAATTTAGTGGAGTGATTGGCGCTGATAAAGGAAAGAACTGGAAAGAAATCTACCTTTTCACATACTCCATCTTGCATGGATGACGTCGTCAGAGCATTTTCTATTAACCTTATTGTGTCGTTTAAACCAAGTTTTTAAAATAACATCATAAGTTAATATACTAACGCTACTTCGCCAAATAAGGAGAAATGACAGTGGGTTATTTTACCTCCCAGAGTCATGACAAAATATGTCAGGTATTAATTCCTATTCAATCAAAGTTACGGGCACATTTTGTCAAAAGCAAACTTTCCAAAACGACACAGTCGAAACAAGTTGGATCTTGACTGCATGCGATCACATGTATGCACGACGCTACACTGCCATGCATATAACCGAATATTTATGCGACTACCGCATTCAACACCCATACGGTGCGCTGGCAGAACCGGCTGGCCCTGGCAAACGAAAGAACGAAAAGCTCCACCACAGGGATTTGCTTCTCTTATCAAGCATACCTCCGTAAGGTCATGTCAGACGTTAAGATGGAAGGCGGGTGGCTTTTATTTACATGAAAATGACTAGATTTGCCGGTACTGCATGCAAAGACACCTCAGCTTTTATAACATGAAAAGCCAGCGATATTTACCAAACTCTGTCGTGCAATCTGTCACCTTCGGTATTGTCTCTACTTCCACCAGCCGGGACGAGTATTAACAAATGTCTAACTCGATGTCAAGACGCCCGACATTCCCTTATCAAAATGGCTCAGGGTAAGAAAACAACTCGCAAGTCCCGTGATCTGCAGGTACCGCAATCCTGTACGTTACACACGCACCACGAAGCCGGTTCGTCCTGTTCCCTGCACCCAGAGATTTCCTTTAAATGTAGTTTTAAAAGAAAAATCAGAGACACTCACCTTGCCCGTTTTATGGTCAAACCAGACCAGAGCGTGGTTCCTCGACAGCACCTTGCAGTCAAATGTGGCGTTATTCTGGGTCGGCCGGCAGCGCGCCACGGAGCGCCCGATCTTGACGGGCTCGTCAAGGTAGACATGGCGTTCCTGAAAGGGGTGTGAATTAGGGCGGCAGGTGAACACGGCCAACGCTGAAGGCATGGATGACGGCCTGGGAGCGGGACTCCAACCGAAAGACAAGGTTTCGTGATCCAGACTGGCAAACTTTTTTCCCGGATTCCCTCTTTTCGCCAATTAGAAGCAGTGACCAACCCGGCTAGCTAGTGCAGTAAGTAGCCGGTGATTTTTTTTTTCAGACCCGGATCCCACCTCCCCACAGATACAGTAGACCGAAAATAAACATTGACAACCACTATACGACCTACCCTACTAGTAATGCTACGTGCTGGCCATGATCCTACCCAGTTAGATCCCCTTAACCAGCAGACACAGCGGCCACGCTACTAGCTCCCACAAACCGCAGCGCGCTACACCTTCACCTGGCTGGCTACACTTCTGCTCCCCGGCTCTCGACGAGTGCTTCAGACACATCGACCGTCGACGTCCCCCCGAACGAAATCGACGAGAGCTGTTTAAATTAACCGATACTAGTAGTCTGGAGGGCTGCAATAATTCTAAAATATTAAGTTGTCAGCGACCTGTACGAGGGTCGGCGAATATACCTCCCCATGTAGCTAGCCGAATAGCTAGCCAGCGCTAGCGTTTCCCTCGCTTCGGCCCACTTTACACCCCTTATAGTTGATTACTGGACGGGTTGCGACCCAATGACACACAGCCACCGCCGGCTGCACATTTACATATAGGTTTCTGGCACTTTCCTCAAATTCCGAGACTCTGCCTCACAGCTGACTACTCTTTGGTCTCTATCCAGCAACGTGCATTATTACAAAAAGTACACGTACTTCACAGTCCTAGTAAATTCACTTACCACTCCCCATGCCGAAACCCCCGTGCTAACAGCTAACTAAATATTACGTCTTACCGCAAAAAATCCTGCATCCGGCAGTTAATACGCCGGAACACGGACAAACTCCCGAAAACACTCACTGCGTATCTAAAGCAGCCTCAAATTTTCCCAAAAGTTGCCAATATGTTGGCCAGCCAGGCCTATCAATAACCGAGAGTGAGAACCCGGTCCGTCTCACTCCCGCTTTCGGACGGCGGCTGAGGTCGTGGTCGAGCGGCGACGCCGTGAACTTTCTGACCCGAAAACCAAAACAGATCCGCTCCTTTTCTATTTTCCTGGGAAACGCGGAAAACCTAGACGCCTTCGCCGCAGCCACAACCGCCGCTCACTCCCCGACGATTTTACAACATATTCCGTACTAAGCCATAGGCCACGTTGTTCCTACGAAAAATAAACAAAATACCGGACGGGAAAAGAAAAATCAACCGGCCATATATTATTGTCTACTCCGGTAAATTCGAGGACAAATCCGAACAGCTCGCCCTTCTCCGCAAGCGACGGCCGCCATACTGGAATTGAAATACATACCGGGCTGCGACGCCGTGCTCGCGCTCGGGCACGCGAGGAGCACGGGGCGGTGCCCGTTTTGACACTGGCAGATCATTGTCCAATAAAAGGACACGGTCGCTTGCTGCGCAGCCAATGCGCGCAGCGCCGCGACGCGTGCAAAATTTGTTCTGGTTGTCACTGAACTTCAGGGAAAGAGGAATTCAAAAATTACTGAACAAAAATATGCAAGGGATTCGTCCATTGCTAGATAGCAAAAACACTAGGTGGTCGATTTTTCAACACCTTCAACACCCTACAACATGACATGTAAATTATATTTCCCGAAACCTAGAGGTGTTAAATTTCTGAAATAATTGTAGTAGTTTGGTGCAAGCAATACCAGGCATCTGTGCGTACCATATTCAGGTTCGACCAGTTAGTTACAAGCAATACGAAGCATCTCTGCGTAGTATAAGTGGATGCTGATGCTTTGTTATTGCGACCTTTAAGCCCATCGCAGCCGAATACAGTCGGAGGCGTTTCATGATTAAAGGGTAATACAATTCAAGTGTCATAGTTCTTAAAATATTTCGTTTGAGCCACACCATTTCCCCTAAATAGCCTCACATTTCGAATGGGTAATTTTGAAACACAAAAAGGATTTAAAAGATTCAGGTGATTATCAGACAGATAAGAGCAAAGAAGTCAGGAGTGAAGAACCCCACCCGCAAAGAGAAAGCCAGTGTTGTGCGGTGAAACAAATGTCTTACTAAATTAACTTCTCCGATTACTGTCTAATAATGTCTCCAGAAAGCTATTTTCTTGTGCTGTCAGTGGAATTAAGTAAGCTCATTTTAGAAAAGTGCATAAATAACTATTCAAGACATGGATGATAGATATATTTTTTCTTTAAAGGGAGCATCATTTCTGTCTAGAATCTCAGAAGGTTTAGTCCCTGAGCATGTCGTTCAGAAAACTGCAACATGCAATATTAATCAATTTAGCTAAAGGAGAGAAATGTTGGAGACCTAAAACAATATAAAGGTGTTCATTCATTTTCTCTAGATACATGATTTTTAAATTATTTTAGCTTAAAATAGACAAATACTAAGATGGACTAAAACGAAAACATCTGGGAGGTTTTTTTTTAACAATATATTTAATAAATTTTTTAAATTTTGAGCAATTATTTCTGTTTTAGCAGTTATTGCTGATGTCTATATAACTGTATGATGCCTTTGAAAGTCCCTCATGTTTCACATTTTATGGTTGTGCCATTTGTATAAAATGTTTCTTTTCACTACATTTTTATTCTGTTTAATGTTGTAATGCTCTGAATTAAGAATTTATGTTACCTCTTCATTTAGATCATTGCATAGTTAGATCTGTCCATTTTCTAACTGCTTATCCTGAGCAGGGTCACAGGGAGCCTGGAGCCTATCTCTTGCAGCACAGGGCACAAGCCTAGGGTACACCCTGGACGGGATGGCAGATCATTGCTGGCTCAGTCATACGCTTTCAGCAATTTGAGGCACCAGTTAGGGTAGCTGCATGCTTTTCAGTGTTTTATTAAGTGGTATGGTTAGGGTCTTTGGTTTGGCATTCAAATATCAACACAAGCTGCCCCCAGTGAGATTGCTGAAGTAAAAACTCAGAAAAAACAGTAAGATGGTTGACGGTGAATGGACGGACGGATGGATGGATATTAAGAGAAATATTGTTAAGATAGAATGTCTTTTTAGGAGGCACAGTGGCTCAGAAGTCAGTTTTGTCGCCTTGTAGCTGCAGGGTTATGGATTTAATACATTCCCACATGTGTCCCTGTCCACCTTGCAGGTTCACTTGGTACACATGTGAGTTTTTTATGAGTACTCTAATTTCATCCCACAATCCAAAGATATGTTCCTAGATTTAGGTTTTATATGTCTAAATGACCTGCAGTCAGTGAACGCTTGTGTAGTTACCCTGTGTTTAACTGGTGTTCTCACCAGGTCAAACCTTACATCACATTTTCTGTTTCCAAAAGCTCTGGCCTGTAGCCACATAATTACATAAGGATGATTAGATCATGAGTACCTATTGAAACACTGTCCAAACCCTCCTCAAAAAAAAAGTATTTATACTGACATTGGCTATACATCAAAGGCCTTTTCCAGAAACTCTGGAAGTGTATGTTAGCAAAAAAATACCTGTTTGTAGCAGATTTGGCAGCTGTTACTAATTTACAGGAGGGCTGGTACTAAATCACATTAGATCCGCAGGAAATTACTGCAATTGTTGCAGTAAACTTGATCCGTCCTCTAGCAGTTTTATAGTAGTAGTGTAATGTTGTGCATTCACAATATTTCCAAATCACACTAGCTTGCCAAGTTGCCACTGAAGTACTGTGGATACGTAGTATATTACTGTAACTGTTTCATGTAATGTAAACTATTGATCATTAAAAGTGTTTCTTATAATACATGCTCAAAGTAGAGACATTTGACATATTAAATGCAATAACACATCATAGCAAAATGAATAATCAAGATACCAATGAATCAAAAACAAATTCCCACACCAAACCATGAATGCAGACATAGATTTGTTTGGTTGACTCTTATCATGAATGACAAATAAATAATAAATGCCTAGGTCACACCAAGCATGACACTTGCAAAAGATATAGCTATCATGTATTATGCCTTTAAAACAAAACATTGAGTGATAAAGTAAATTAGGAATTGTTTCAAATGCCAAAACTGACCGCTTGACCGTCACTGGATAAAACTGTCACACCAGATAAAATTGTCAGCTAAGCAACAAAATAATAATAGTGACACAATTGGACACATGGAATTACCACTGGCTTCTGCTGTGGCATTTCTTATTCTATTGGAAATCTTCAGTTGTACCTTAAGTGCCCACCAGTCTCAGTAAATAGCAGAGTATTGTCCAACATGGATGAAGTATCTGTAGCTAATCACGCTAAGTAACCATTTACGACTTTCTTAGCCTTCCTACGTGTTCAATGCTTAGATCCAATGCTTTTACCATTGCAGGAATCACAGACACATTAGGACACTTAAAATGTCCCAATTCATTCTGTTCCATTAGTTTACAGTACAGTTTCTGTTCTTCTCCTTATCATCCAAACCTCCTTTCTTTGACATTTACTTTGTGGCCTCGGTTTTTAGCATCGATCAACTGCTGGTCATCCTTCCTGTTTATGTAAAAGATCTCACATGATATTTCTGTCAACCTTGTAACTGTCATTTAAAGGGGAAAAAATGAAACCTCTGTCTTTATCCGCAATGATGAGTCATGCAGATAGGCTCAGTTATTTACTCTGTTATACCAAAGGAAACTTATTTACTTAGAGTGGACTTTGCTGAACTCCTCACACATATATTAACATTAGGGCTCTGGTTATAAGGATACCACAGCCACCTTCCTGTAAGCAGCACACGCTGATACAGCGCATTGCCACCCCCACCACATGACAAACCACCTCAGGGATGAGAACCTGAGTGCAGCCATGTGGCAGGTGATACCTCAGCACCACACTAGCCCAAATGGTACAGTGTGAAGTTGTTTTCCAGTGGCCGGAGAGCCAATCCTGTCACCAACCCCCAAATTTTCCCTGAAAGTTGGAGGTCCTGCTTGCAGAGCTGGATGTAGATTAACATCACGCCCAGGACAAAGCAATTGCAGGTTTAAGAGCCTTGCTCAAAGGCTCAACAGAGTAGGATCACTCTTGGCATTTACAAGATTCAAACCAGTGACCTTCCAATTGCTGCCACAGATCTCTAGCCTCAGAGCCACCACTTCCTGTAACTTATGACATTAATTGTATCTCTCAGGCCCACACAACCAGTAACTGGTAACTGCTAATGATAAACTGTGTCTTACATGTGGACCAGATGAAGGTTGCTGCTTTTGTTTTAGTCACTATCTAGACCAGGGGTGGGGAATCTTATCCAGAAAGGGTCGCTGTATATGTGGGTTTTCGCTGCAACTCCCTAATTAGATTATTAATTAGAGAAGTGATTAGCTGAAGAGTCCTCGCACTTGGGTTTGAACAGTTGACCTAAAGGTTATTCCCAAAACCTGCACACACACTGGCCCTTTGCACATAAGATTATCCACCCCTGATCTAGATACTTTTATTCAAAATGACTTGCACTGTGTTCATTTAAGCAACTGGTTACTGTAAAATGCCTTTCTGACTGAGTTCCAAGATAGTTCCCTTTCCTGTGCTTCAAATCAATACCGTTTTTGTCACAACCAAGTCGTACCATCTGCTGAATTTACCATCTGACATTTTATAGCAAAATCATACAGCAATGAGTAAAATACATATCAAATCAATACAAATTTCAGCTCAATGCAATTCTGTTATCCACTATAAACAGTCTCTTACTTCTTACTGCAATTCCAATAGTTTTCACTCTAGATCCAAATTATGTCATTATTGTTATTATTCAGGCTGTCTTCTGTTATATGATCAAATAAAATTCTACAATGCAGAGTATCTACACACACACACACGGTTGGGAATGTCAATATCTTCCACATAATTTAATCTAAACCTAAACACATACATTTCCTCAAAGTTAGTGGCATTTTAGGGTTGTGAGTTCCAATCCTGCCCAGGGGTCTGCATCCTGAATCTGAATTTCTTGCTTAACCAGATAACTTGTTGGTTTTAAGGTACCCCAGTTTAAATGGACTTTCTTTATTTACATACATTTAGCCTAGACTTCCTCAAATCTAACAAGTTATCTGTCTAAATAGAAATCTGGCTTTGTGATAAATGCCCCAAGTCTGTGTGTGTGTGTGTGTGAGAGAGAGAGAGAGAGAGAAGGAGAGAGTACAATGTCAGAAAAACTTGTTATTTTGACCTTGAAGGGACATTTTTTCGGTCCTCACATCAGGAAACTCAATTGTATGAAAATCTTTGAATGCAATCAAAAAAACTAATAGCCAAAAGTCTTGTATTTTGTTGGGTCACTTATGGTTATGGTTATGGCTTGGTAGAGGTTTGCATAGTTGAAATTGACTACAGAAATTAACGGACGGTCTCCACAAATCAGTCTGTGTATTATTTCACCGGTTTCCTCCGAATAATGCAGTTTTTTCGCAGAAGTCAAAAACCAGGAGACAGGTGAATCGACGTTTCTAATTCATTGCCGTTTGCGTGAATGCGTCTAACGGTGGACTGGAATCTCTTCCAGTAGCTTCCCTTTCCTTGTACTCTATGCTTCCTGGGGTGGCCAGAAAAGCGGCAAGATGCAAGGATGATTTTAACTTACTGTCCACTTCATTTCACAAGACTCGGAATAGGCAAACTTTGTTTGCTGTCTCTTTAATGAGAGGAATTCGTAACTTGGTTGCCAGATCACCCTTCACATTCCACATCACGGATCCTCATTTATTTTACGTCCGATACAATAATCGTTAAGTGCAATCAAATATATTCGTTTACATCTCATTTAAATATTTAACTGTAGCTCCATTTCACAACATGAACAAGGTAGGATTGAAGCAGCATTTAGGACAGTTGGTAAACCATGTAGTTTTTACACCGGTATATTTATTTGCCTATGATTTAGAAGAATTTGGATGTTTTTGTCTTTTAGTTGCATTCGCCATTTTCCTTTTTTTTGTAATCGAAACGATTCCTCGATATGATATTAAATTAGAGCATAAGTCTGGCAACCACCGTGTTTCGCTCCGAAGCCCGTCCTCTTTCCGCTTTAGTGGAGCGCTGATGCGGAGCGTCTTGCGTCGCCGTCGCCTGGACGTCGCATCGTTTTTTTAACTTCTTGTGAAAATTGTTTTTGTTTTGGTTTTCACCGGATTATTAAAGGATCGATTGCTAAAGTTGCATTGGAGGAGGAGGAGGAGGAGGAGGAGGAGGAGGGGGGGCGAATAAAAAGAGCCACCGTGGGACACTATGGCCTTGCATGGTCAAGGGGGAATGGAGGAACCGGTTGAGGAGCCCGAAGACTTTCGGCAAGGGGATGTCAGCATCTCCCCGGCGATTGAAGTGCCCGACGCGGGGCCCGGAGTGGAGACCCCCGCGGAGCCGCTGCTTTTGCCTTGGGACCGATTCTCCGCCTGGCTGCACTGTATCTGCGTGGTGGGCTTTGATCTGGAGCTGGGGCAGGCGGTGGAGGTAAAGCGCCCGTTAGCTTGCTAGCCAGTTAGCCTGCTAGGGCTGCAAGTTTAGTGTCAGTCCCATACATTTCAGTGATAATAAGAGGCACCGTCTTCTCTAACGACGCCGTCGAACAGACATATAATCACCACATACAGATATTTATTAAACAGCCGGCGTGTATGAAACGGGCTGAGTTATTTTGCGTGCTTTCTCTTTAAATGAACAGTCATTCTAAGATGGTTTGCAGCCACTTCAGGCCATGGCCGTGTTCGCCGTGTATTTCTGCAGATTAAAAAATACGCCTACCGCAGTTGTTTGACAGACCAATTAATAAGGTGGAAGAACTTATTCCTGAAGAAAAGCCTTTCACTTTTATTTTGCTATGTCACGTGCTATAACATGTCAGTCTATTTTGCGGATGTCTTTCTGTCACGAGTAGGGAAACGTTTTTATAGAGTAGAAATGTGGTCGGTAATACGATGTACTCTTTGTCTAGAAGATTTTATAGGTGTCTGTTTTCTGTTATCTGAAAAAGCATCCTGAGCACATAGGGGTAGAGGTTTGCCCAGACCTTATGGACAAAAGCGTCCGCTGAATAATTAAATGTAATGTACATGTGTCTGAATCTGCAACAAGTCCAATCTCCTGGCTATTGCTATCATTTGTGATCTACCAGTGCAGGATCACCTGCCACAATGTCCCAAACTGGTCAGTGTTTATTTTCATATTTGCACCACTGCATCAGAAAGTTATTCTTGAAAATATAAGGAGATTTAGAATTTCTCTCTCTCTTCCAGGTCATTTACCCACACCACTCAAAACTCACAGACAAAGAGGTAAGTATGCAGTGCAATCTGTGTCGTTTGATAATGTTTTTAAGGTTCTTGCCTAAATGCATAGTGACTCTCGTTTCTATCTTGTCTTTTCAGAAAACAAGTATATGTTACCTGTCTTTCCCAGACTCAAATTCAGGTAAATCTCATTTTGTTTTCTGTAGTGTTACTAGTTCTTATACTGTATATAACAATGTTGCTTTCCCTCCTGACTGACAATACTCAAAATTCCCTGGCACATTTTGTTGTTACTCCCAACATACTCGATGAGTACATTAATTCTTGTCCTCCACCAGATGTTGTCAGCCGTTAGGGTTAAGGCCTGAGCTGATTGCTTTTCCTGACTTACAAAGCCTTTATCTGGGCGGCCGAATCATAAATCTTGCTGTGAGGTTTTGGTTGCTGAGGATGCAGATCTGTAGATGGCCAATGGGTTTCAGACTGTGAGCGCTAGGTTAGGCAACAGTAGGATTTTCCTTGCTGCTTGAGTCTTGCCTGGTTGCACTTCACAGTCAATGATAATGTTGTTTCCTATCGCTGTTGTTATATGGAATATTTATGAAATGTGGCGATCACAGATTACAAGTAGGAGGTAAAAATGGAAAAACTCCTGAGTATGTGACGAAAACACTGTAAATTCTTAACCATTCGGTGACGGAGGTTTGGAGCCATCCTATCCTATCCATAGCTATCCTAGGTGGATTGTTCTGAAATACAATTTGTGAGACCAGCGTGAGATCCCTTGTGTCATGCTATATGATAGCATTACAAGATAGAACAGTCACATGTCTGAAGTCCTAGAGATCCAGAATCTTTATTAGAATACAGTGTGTCTCAGTGTGAGACATTAAATAACCACTCCCATTGGTATGCCTTTGCTTCTCACAGTGTACAATGTGCACCTCCAGTGTGCATGTACAACAGGTTCAGAACTGATACTCGAGAAATGCTGTAAGTCCTGGCCTGAAGTCCTGTACCTAGTTGGACCTGGAAGAATGACACAGGGTTTGTGAACCTGTTGTAAGCTGTGGCTGGTTGTCATTGGAGGTTGTAGTATAAAACACAAGGAGAAGCAGGGGAGAGTTAAATAACATCGTACAACCGAAACTGTTGATGGGGAACAATGGCTGGCGTGAAAGCGAAACCATACAAAGAGGAGAATATATGACTCAACTGTGGCTGTGAAGAATCTTGCTGCTTTTTCATCAGACTCTAAATATGAAAGTCACTTTTTGTCAGAAAAGCGGTGTGCAGCTCAGTGAGTTAGGATGCCGTGCATTAGGGCTGGGCGATATCATATCGATATTATATTGCACATGTGCAATAATCACCGCCCTGGTCAGGTGACAGACGAAGCATTTGGCCGGACGTCAGCTTTTCGATGCTATACGGACATTAATTTACGCCCATAATTTGGTAAGAGGATTAGTAGTATGGCTTAAATATTAATGAGATGCGTTTTGTGATACCCAAAAGTTAGTAATCTGTATAAACTTTATGTTTCTTAAATTCGATTAGCGGAGCACACCACATAATACTGGTTTGGTATACTACGGTTTGGTATACTATGGTTTGGTATATGCACTGAAGTCGCGGTGAAGAAGAGCAGCCATGACATCTTTTAAAAGAGGAGATCTTGTGGGTAAACAAGATAAAACGACGTCGGTGGTGTGATGGTACTTTTTGCAGTTCAAAGTCTGACACATTTATTAAACATAAGGATGTGCCGTATTTATACTAATGATGACTTTTGGACGTCATACAAAGCCTCATTAATATTTTAGCCATACTACTACACTGCTTAAATTGTGGGCGTAAATAAATGTCGGTATAGCACCGAAAAGCTGGTGCATGGCCAAATCTTGCGCCTGTCATCTGAAGCCCTAGTGATTATTGCGCATGCGCGATATAATATCTATATGATATCGGCCAGCCCTACCGTGCATGTCATCGGAACGTTGCCGGTTCGAATCCCAATTTCTCTTCTGGGGCCTTGAGCAAGGGCCTTAATCCTCTATTGCTCAAGGGACTGTCTGACACTGCTCGCTCAAAAATGGGCATCACTTTGGGTAAAAGCATCCGCTGCATCAGTGAAATGCAGCGCAGCTTTTTTCTAGCAATGAATATTCATTGTGCAGGTCACCAATTCCTTTATTTCTTTGCCTACCTTCTTTGTAGTAGGTAAGCCGTTTTGAGAAGGCCTGACTGCTCTTTGCAGGTGGTGTAAAGTTACGCTACAGGCTGTTTTGTTTTTACTGTGCTAAAAGGTCTGTAACTGTAAGCTGTATTTTGGTACCTGGTTTAATGGTGTTTATTATGGGCTTCAGTGAGAAAATTGACTTGAAATTGATCTTAATTGAAGGATGCTTAAAATCTTTGCATTTCAATTGATGGTTTCAGTGCAGTTTTTTTTTTTTTTTTTAAATGACGACAAGAAAAGAATAAGAAATATCCTTTATTTTCCTGGAAAAATGTAAGACAGTGTTGACTGTAGACAACTGGTTGGAGGGAGAGCTGAAATCTATGAGTAAAATGAATGAATCATTTTTGTCTGTTCTAGTGGGCGAGCTTCGAACATGGAGCTGTCATGATGTTATTCTACCCGCATTTATTATGTCGTTATAAAAGTTACAGCAACCTGTTACTGTGACAGCGCAGTGTACAAGTACAGTGGGCTTTGTTACATCAGTTCAGGAACCATCGCACGTGGAAATCGAGCTGAAAGAGGGGTACGTCATCTCTGTGCCCGCCCCCTCCGTGTTTCTCCAATCTAAGGTTTCAAATAAGCGTGTCGAGTAGCCAGGTCACGAAATTGGTGCCATCGCAGTACCGCCAACGTCAAGTATGGCCAACCATGAATGACCGATCATGGCCGTCCATCCCGTGGTGATGACATCACTGCGGAATAGCAGTCACTTTCAAAAAATCTCTTTTCACTTTCTGAGTTTTAAGACAAAATGTCTCCTCCTTCTTTTTCTTTCCCCATGGTTCAGTAGATTAGATGTTCATCAACTTCCTCATCACGACTTCACCTGAAATTGCTTTGATCAGACCTGGTTACTAATTTTCTGTTATACCAATTCTGTCCGGGCTTAAGGTCACTTTACTGTACATGGTCTCTGCCATAATAGTTAAGCAGGATTGACTGCTGCATATGCTTGGTTGTGTAGAAGGCACTTTGCAGGAAAAGGCTTTTCTATTATCCAGTCTGGTTTCGACTTGGTACATCGGAGAATGGCAGCGGTAATGGAGCCCCAAGGATGCGCATCAAACCAGAAGCTCAGCTATGCTCCCCATGGGGCTACAGGCAGCTGGGCACCTTGGTCTTTCAACCGAAAGGTCGCTGGTTCACGACACAACAGGAAACCCTGCTCTTGTTACCCTTCAACTAGATGTGTAAGACAACCTGCTTTAGGGGAAATATCCACCAGCATTAGATGCACAGAGGAAAAATGTTAGTCCTTTCATCCAAGCGGAGAACATTGGCTGTGGTTTTAAAATGTTTTAATTAGTGTCACAGAATTGGTCTAGTGAATTGTAGAAGGCACTCTGAGTTTTATTTTGGTCCTTAATGCAGACTGTTTATTAATAAGTAATATTGTGGTTGAGGTAAAGACTTAATGATGAAAACAGGAATTAAATGTCATCCAACTTCGGCAGTGACTGCAGCTCTCAGAGATGTACTGCCAGTGTGGAGATTGGAACATAAATGTCTCATTAAGAAGTGATAATGGATTTTCACAAAGGCTGCACCTTCTAGTCCTGAGGTTCTCGTATCTGCTATTGCTGGGGTCCAGGGTCTACCCCGGCAGCACTGGTTGTGTGTGAGTATTTTCTCTCCAGCATCAGAATGGTGAGGTCAGTCTGTATGAGCATGAAAAGCCAGATGTGTGGAGGTCAAAAGGATCGTGTGTCTGCTGAAGGCCTTTTTCTTGGAGGATGAGCTGTACACGAGCCTCTGGTGAGCCAGAGTGTTTGGTTGCCTTGGAAACTTGGTGACCGATCAACAGCTTTCACTGAATTCGAGTCATGGGTTCGTCTTGCATCACTCAGCTTGCCTCAGCTTTTGGGGCAAAGCACCATGAATCCGCTTCGCATACGACACTGGAATATGCAGCTCTGGAAAAGCTGAGGATGTGGTGCCCAGTGGGAATTTGTCTGAGCTTCAAAGAATTCCTAATCTTCCAAAGCCTCCCATGTGAGATGGTATTTGAGGAATGTTCCGTGTTGGCACAAGAAAGAGACTGTTTGCTATGTGGGCTCTAGAGCTTTTGGGGCTTCTTTCTCTGTCTATATATTCAATGAATCTATTGATTTGAAGAATCAAAATTCACCAGCATGTGTGGGAAGACTTTTGAGGTCATGATTAAAAGCTGCATAGGACATGTTTCTGGAGAACAGGTCTCATTTTTATAGAGTCGGGGGACCCTTCTTAATGTATGAATGGTGGTTAGAGAGTGTTGTGTAAGCACCTCTATTTTTAGGGCCCTCCTTCCGCTAAAATCCATGGATTGGGTTAAATTGTAGGGTGACATCACCCCTCCATCTCCAGTCGGGCGTGTGCCTTAATCCCCAACATCTGATAGGCAGGTTCCCTGCCCTCTGCCTCCCGTTACTACCACCACTCTGCAGGAGACCAGGCCTCTCCTCCTCCCATGAGACAGACAATTCAAAGCATAGAAGTAAAATGAAAATGTATGCTTTTTTTTGTCAGAAAATCCCATTGGATCACGGCTGTATTTCCCGATAAGAGTGCACCAAACAGGCAGAATGCCAGCCAAGCCATTCATCTGTATGGAGTTGACTGTAATCTTCCAGAGATGAGAATGAAACGCAGTAATTATCTGTTACGTTTCACGTCTTACCTTTTTCCCCAGGATGTCACACAATGGCTTCTTATCCTGTTTATTTTTGGATATTGTAAGATGAGGACATTAAATGTGTTGAACCATTGCCTGCCTGCAGATTAGTACTATGGGTTGGATCGAGTCTCTGCCAGCTTGTCATAATCGGCATGTAAGTCCCGTGTGATTTGGCAGTAAGATTAGTCCGGTGGACAGCCGGCCGGCGTTTGCGTGGTGATACTGGTTGCTTAGGCACTGAGGCATATCACACATGGAAGGCTGCTGGTCTGGAAGAGGTGTTCCTGACCTTTTATTCAAGGCACCGAAGGTGACCTTTTAAAACATTACTCATTAATGCAGTTGGTATGGTTTACTTAGCAAATTCTACCCCCGCACCCCCCAAAGCCATCAAAGATATCTTGTAGTTGGGCAGCTACAGCTGACCATGAGCACCGCACAAGCCTTGCCGTTTCAGAGATTTTCTGATGCAGTCGTCTGGCCATACAGTTTCACCCTTATCAAAATCTCTCAGGTCTTTACCCCTGCCCATTTTTCCTGCCTTCAACATGTGAACTACAAGTACCAAATGTTAGCTAACCGTCTAATATATTCCAGACCTTGACACGTGGCATTTTCACGACGTCATTCGTGGGGGTGCTTGTAATGTTTTGACTCATCAGTGTATAGTGCTGTCATACTGGTCTGATTTTTGAAGATGTTGGCGTAATGTCCTCACTTTGTCATACAGGATATTGTTGGAAAAGACTTTTGAAATAGAACTTTCTCCCCAAGAAAATTGTTACAATACTTACAAACAACCACTGAAATCTTTCCGCTGACACCCAGTGCTGCTGTACTCTGAGGATGATGCGAGAGCGGTCAATGACCTAATGTCCCAAATATGTTTGAATGCACTTCCGGTTTCCCCTTCCTCCCTCTAGGCTGTCTGGGGGACACGCAGTTCTGTTTCCGTTTCCGCCAAGCATCAGGCAGGAAGTCTTCCCTCGGCTGCTTCCTGGATCAGTTCGACAGAGATGCCCCCCTCTGCCTCAAGGTTAGAACTGGAGCTGGTTTTGGATGTGAGGAAGCTGCTCTAACAATTGTAAATTGCTAAGAAGCGATGTGTCCTGCAGATGTCATTCACGACAGCACTCAGTGTTGCAACATATATTATTATATGTCAGTAAATGAGTTAGAGCTGTGCAAGGTCCTGACTGTTTACCACTGAAGATGCACGATATCGGCACAAACATTTTTGTTGGCAAATATGCCCCGAATATTTCTGGGAATAAATATCAATCTGTGACTCAAAATTTTATAGTAAGCCTCATTAATTTTCCCTCAACTAAATTAGTATGTGGACCACTGGGTCTATCAAGAGCTTGTTTGTACCATTGATTGATATGATTATCAGTTTGTAACAAAATAGCTAAGCTTTAGCTTTTAGATTACATTGTGGTCTCAAAAATGTCTGTCCAGCAATTGTCCATTACCTCTGGTTCGAGTGGGATTATGTAGTACTGTACTGAAACTGAAGGCAAGTTTCGTAGATGATGGAGTGATGTTGATGTTGGTATTTGGCAGAAGACTGGGTTTTGTAGCACTGGAAATGCCACACCCTTGCTTTTGCAGCGGAGTCCTGTTGCATTGTGAAGACAACATATGAAGCAAAAAAAAAAAAAAGACTAAACTGATTTCATATTGGTGGTATTCCCTTCCTCAGGACAAAGGGTTCATGTGGATTCTCTGGAACTTGACAGTCAATCTGTACAGCAGAGAGAATGAGCAGACGTGGTTGTTTCGAGTCTGGCAGTGGAGATTAGAGAAATTGTAGTTGTATCAAGTACAAGGAGAAGCGTTGCAGATGATTGTAATAGCTGAAAGTGACTGTTTACAAAGACATCTGGTGGTGGCATCTTGCATTAGGGTAGCAGGGGAAACACGTGTGTAGTTACATCAGTAAGTTGAGAAAATGTCTTGCTGCTTACATATGACTCAGATGGCACTGAAACTCCTCATGCTGGTGAACACAGATTTTTGGCTCACAAAGGATATGCGGATGTAGGATTTGGGAAGGATCCGATTTTCCGTTACCTGTAGGGATCCATCCTTGGCTTTTATTGTGATTCCTCAGAATAATCCATTGAGTATGATGTCTCTTCCAGAGAGATCAAGGCTATTACTATGGATATGTATACTTCAGGCAAGTCCGCGACAAGTCGCTCAAGAGAGGATACTTCCAGAAGGTGAGTCTGCCGACCTCTTGACAGTACATTCACACTGATACTTTGACTCTAGCCTGGTCCGGGGTCACTGTCATGGCTTACGGCCCCAATTTCTTTTCTTCATAAGAGAACAATATTATGCCATTTGCTGCTCAGATTCAAGCAGTTTCTGTGCCGTGACAGGCACCAGATGTACATTTTCCATGCATATTATGGCAATCTAGTCGTGTTTGTAGTTGGGAGGTAACTATTTATTCAAGAATTGTTGAATGAAGGTAGAGGGGTGAGGCAGGTTTCTACTTGTTGAGCACGTATGAGTCTAAGTTGGCTTTCCAGGTGTATGTCTGACTGCAGCCACATTTTGGGAGTCAAGAAGAGGTCCCCCTGACTGGAATTTGTTAGTTATTTTAATGGTGGGCCTGTTTCTATTGCCAGGGAATCTTTAGTTGTAGGGCTGGGCGATTTGCGATATTAATATCGACATTGCATGTTATGCATGTGCTATTCTCACATCGCATGGACCAGGACAGTCAGCTGGGTTTAGATCAGGATTTTTCATAATGTCTGGACATTATACTGCAGTACATGGTATTTTCAAAAACTGTTGTTTTGCAGTACAATTCCGGTATTGTGAAATCTTGGTGATAAGATTGCCTGAGCACGAGGGAGTTTAAATTTATTTTGAACTCCTTTTTTGCTTTATACATGTCTCAATATTTATCGCAAAAAAATCAGGTGATATCTAAGGGTGCACTCACACTTGGCATGGTTGCTTTGTACCGTGCCCAAGCACAATTGCCCCCTGCTGGTCTGCGCTCACATTGCAGTTAATGATCTTGACCCAGGCACACACTCATTATCACCGAGCAACTTTTTTGTTTGGAAGAAACCATAAGAAGGAAAGCACTGTTGCACAGCAGAATGGAATTCATGATTAGTATACTAATTTTATGGCTTATCGAGGCGTTTTGGTCACAATGGCACACAGATTTATGTGACACAGCGATTTTTATTTATTTGTATAAGAAAATGCCAAATCTGAGTTTAGTAGTGCAGACTAGTGTTGCATGGGATACTGGTACTGAAAAGATAATGCAGTTTCACATTTTTGAAAGCTGTTCAGTACTTTTATTTAGTGCCAGTACTAATTACATTATTAGAGACATTGCTGTTGCTAACCATTGAATGAGAACCATGTTATAGGATAATAAATTGGAGGGTTGCCAACTCTCACGCATCTGACATGGCACTCACGCTTTTAGGCTCTAATGCTCATGCAGGAAATCTTACGGCAAATCTATATTTTCCATTATAAACCTAAAATTAGTTGCATCAGAAACACTGGGGCAGTTTGCAAACCCTACAGACTATTGACAAGGTAATAAAACTCTTACAGACATGTAAATGTGCGTGCAGACTAATCCTGAATTGAAAATCTCACTCCAGCCAACTAACCAAAGTTGGCGACTCTGAAAATGTCAGTTAGTTAGTTAATTGTGGTCTCCCCAGCTTCAAGTCAGAGATTTATGTAAGGGATCTTATAATATTGCAAGATCGTGTAATATAACAGGCTAAATTAGCATCGTCAAACTAGCATCTATACCTATAGGTTATTATGCTACGCTGTGTTTTAAGCAGTTAGGTAATCAAGTATAGTGCACTGTGATGGGACTTCATTTTTAATATGTTTATTGATAAGATGAACGGAAGAAAAGCAGAAGCTGCTGTAACATTTATAAGTGCTTATATTATCCGCATAAAAAATGCTGTGATCTGTACAGTCTACCCGATCTGATCCTTCCAGGTTTGGTTCATTATAGTGTACATGTACTTGGTCATGGTATGGAATTGGCTAAAATTTGCTGGGCAGGTAGAATGTTTCTTTTATAATCATTAAATAAGCAGCCATTCCTGTGTTGCTTGTTTTGTCTAGTAAATTGTCGCATAGTCATTGCTGCTAATATTGGGCTGACACTTGCTTGAAATGTTTGCCTCCAGAAGGGAGGCTGTGTCTCCGGTCTGTGTGCTGGGGGGTCATTGGCGCATGCTGTGCTCAGGGATTTTTCTGCACTGCACAGTATTATCAGTGAGGACAAGCTGGGGGCAAAGTTGGCAGCCATGTCATTAATTACAACATTGCCATAATTAAATGGTATTCAATGTCTGGAAGTTCTGAAGGAACTGGGGCTCCTTTGACTACTGTGACCTGATTTAATCCCAAAAAATGACTCTAGCTGGTAGATGAGGATTTTGCTGGTGGCAGTAATTGAGAAGTTTTCAGGACATACACACACTTGGCCCAGTTGAATTTTACTGTGCCTGAGCACGATTGTCCCCCTCCCCACTTCCCCGCTGGTCAGCACTCACATTACGCTTAACATTCCGGGCCTGAGCACGCTTTCGTCATCACAGTGTGACTTTTTTGTGTAACAGGAAACAGGAGGAAATGCTACCACACAACACAATGGAATTCATGATTAATAACTTTATCTTGTCTTTCATTTGGAGTCGTTTTGGGTGCAATGATACATGGTCCTCTTATCGATTTATTGAGTATGCAACGCAGCGATTAATTGTGCTGCATGTATAAGATAGTCCTGTATTGTACCAGATATCTTTTTGTGTGTTGCGTTTAGTTGTTCCTGGATACACTCATCAGCCCAAATTTCCAACAAACACTGCACCTCTGCTGTAGACCAAAGTGATCCCTCTGCCGCAATGTTTGTTAAATATTTGTCGCTACCTGATCTGTACAACTTACCCAATCCATTCCTTCCGGGTCTGCTTCATGTGTAGTATACATATGTACATGCATGTGCCAGTCGCATCATGACGTCGTGTTTCTCTTCTGTGCTCGGGCACGGTTAGTGTTCACACTGGATTCACACCGGATGCATAGCATGCCCGGGTATGGTACCGAGCGATCACACTAGTCAAATGAACTAGATTTTGGCAGTCACCGTACTCGGGCATGGTATGGATCGCCTAGTGTGAGTACATCCTCAGAAAAGGACTTATTTACTGACAAGAGAAACGCAATTTGAGCATAAACTCCACAAGTGATGATTAGGTCTTAGAAGAGGCGGCCATATCAGGTCCCGAAGGTAAAAAATCCAAAACCAGGATTTTGTTTCAACCAACCAGCAGAGTACTCTGTGACTCTTTATACTCAACTGGTTGGTTGAAACAAAATCCTGGTTTGGATTTTTACCTTCTGGACCTGAAATGTCTGCCTCTGGGTCTAAGTATAGTATTTTCTGAATTTTGCCAGGAATGTACATGATCAAACCTTTTATAGGACATCAGTTTTTTTATTTTTTTTAAATGTAACTTAAATGTTTATATCACGTACTCGTGTTGGTTTGCTAAAATAAAATTGTAAAATGGCTCAGGCTTTGGTGGTGGTGGCTTGGAAGGTCTTTGGCCTGAGCCTCTTTATTTGACCCTCCTGCTTCCTTCCCAGTCCCTGGTCCTCATCAGCAAGCTCCCCTACGTCACCTTCTTCCACTCCTTGCTCAAGCTCGTCGCCCCTGAGTATTTCGAGAAGCAGGAGCCGTGTCTGGAAGCCGGTGAGCCCAGCTTCACCATCACTGTTGGGGAGGGTCCTCTTTATACTTGGCTTTTTAACTTAATCCTAATCGCAGTATTAATTCATAATTTGCTTTTATTATGAACATGTCCACATTTTGTAAGTCCATTATTCAAATGTATGCGTTTAAAGTGCCATAAATAAATGAAATCATCGCTTTGAGAATAGGGTTTTTTTTGGGGTTTTTTTAGGAATCTGTCGTTTAAGATGGGGTTTCATTTTTATTGTTGCTTTTTCCCTTGCAACAGCCTGCAATGACATTGACCGATGGCCGACGCCATACCCTGGGAAAATCTTAATGCTTCCAATAATGGGAGTTGTCATGAAGGTAGCCTGAGCCCCTTAATTCTTCTCGCCTAGATGAAGGCTCTTGCTCTCTCTCTCGCTATCTCTCTCCCTCTCTTAATCTCGCCCTCTCCCACACTTTTGCTCTGCCTGCCTATCTCTCCCTCTTCCTCTCTCTCACTTTCTCTGGCTCTTGGTTCATATGAATCAATCATACTGTGTGCCTGGCCGCACCATTATGGATAATTTATTTGTGTTGCGTGATGTGAT